GTGAACAATTGCCAAGTGGTTTGGAGGTTTGTCCATGTTGTTTTGAGAATGTAATTTCTGTTTCAAGAAATGAGCCAAACCAATGGAGAAAAACTGTAAAGTAAAATGTCTCAACAACTACTGACACTCACATTCATCACAGGTACCTTAAAATAACAAAAGTTAACCTCTGACTTTTTGTCTAGCACCATAAACCAGTTTCTTTTGTTCATGACCTTCCCCTCAACCTCAGCAGCATGGGAGTAACAACAATTTCGGCCTTTTTTAAAGTTTTTTTGTCCCTTTTTAACCTTCAAAAAACTCTCTAGCGTCTGATATTCTATTTGGGTCCACCCACTCTCGCAGACCGAGACAGGTTGTGACTAGAGAATAGCACAGAATGTGACGTTCAGTAGTGTTATGGGTTAAACATGCAGAGTAAGATTCATATTTACCACTTTTCTGGCATAATAATTGAACTAAGCATGATAGCCATCTTAATCAGAATCTTGATCGTAATCTTAATCCTAATGTGTTGCTCTGAAGTAGCTAGAAATATGATAAAAGCATGAAGAAATGCAGAAAACAATATTTAAATTATTTTTAGGGGGACCTGCTTTATATTGTATATTGTATTGTACTTTTTAAAGCAATGTTATTTAGTGCTAATTAGCAATGTGTGCATGCTAACATGCTGAACTGAGATTTAAACATCACCAGCTTAAGGCACTGCTGTGACAGAGTGCAGGCTTTCAGAGCTTCTGTTTATTCTCTAACTGAATCCTGATGATTGTGTGTGAAATGTGCCATTGGATGAAAACCACATTTCTGTACGTGTGTGTTTGCATGGATGTGTTTATGTGCTTGTCTATTCCACAGTAAATATCTGTGCATGTTTAAACACAGATGTGGGTTGTGTATTAGCGCATGCATGAATGTACACCATACGACAAACATGCAATAGCAGTCTACAAATATTAACGGTTCCATATTGACACTGTTGTATACTCCCTTGCACACATTAAATTGGTAGGCAGTGTATTTTTTTTCTGAAATTAGTGCAGTTGTGCTTAGATTAGCTTACATGGTGGTAGTTTGACTGTATCCATCAGTCTTGTTGAAAGTGATTCCATTTAATTCCCAGCTAGTGTTACAGTGACGTTCCACGTTGGTCCCACAGAAAACCGAGCAGTTCAGCTTGATCCCAGAGCCTGGTAGAATGACCAAATCATATTTCATATGAGACATTATGTTATGTACAAGTCAGGTGTTGTAGAAGTGACAAGACTGTCGGCCCCTGTTTGTTGTATTGTGCACAAGGACTCACACAGTGGCGGTAATACACCTACCAGGCTGGTTGTCAATTTCTGTTAAAACCCAAAAAGAAGAAGACTGCAAGCATGAAGTCTACACACCGATAAAATAAAATAAAATATTGACTTTGCAAATGTTTTATGAGGAAGGAAATGCATTCAGCACATTTGATTTCATCATTGAATATCTTTGATATAGTCATGACTGGCTATCGAGCACCCAGGGACATAGGCCTTTATGACCATTTCTGTGTTTTCAACGAGAGTAATCAGGTGTCTTTTTTTTGTTAAAAATGGAAAATATCAGACTGCCCTTAAGAGAAAAAAAAAGAAAGTTACTGCTCAGCGTGATTCCAGAGTTTTAATAGAGTCTGATCTGAGATTCAGCAGCTGCATCAAAGCAAATACTGTACTGTACTGTTTTCAGTTTTATAATATATACCACTTTTCCTACCTTCATCAGCAAACAGTTCCTTGTCGGTGGGAGAGATTATTTCTGGTTTATTGTGGTTTATTAGTTCTGTAGGTAACCACAAACAAAACACAACAATGAGTTATTGTTCCCTTTCTCTTCTGTAGGACAATTCACAAGAGTCACATTTCAGTGTTATAACCTTAAGTAATCATTTTTTATCCAATACACAAAATAAGACCCAATTTCTGCTAACCCTTACTTTCTGATCTCCTTTTTCGTCTTTTGTTTCACACTACCCCAACTAAAGAAAAAAATGCTCTCTCACCTTTACTTACTAGCCTCCTGGAGCCTGACGACTTGTACACCTTGTTATTGTGTTTCCAGGTACAAATGCAAGTGTAGATGCCCTCCTCAAATTTGGAAGCATTATGCACCCACACAGTATCTTTATCTTCACCTTGAAGAAGTTTGGAGTCCTGCAGCCGGGGAAGGATAATACAGAAGGAATCAAACAGTCATATGGCAGGAATTTGGAAGAGAGTGAACACATTTTAACCTTTGAATAACCACGTTTGAATCATGGAATTATCCAATAAAAACTGTAAAATAAAGACATTTTGGAAAATAAGACTTTATGTGCTGTCTTTAAGCCTTGGAAATAGTTTTCCTAGCTTTCATATTAATATAGTTTGTTAAACTGAATAATGCTTATCTAAAAATAAGTAGCACACAGAAAGTATCAGCTAAATTTACATCAACAGTCCAAACTATTTTAAATTACAACAGATAGTTATTAATTACTTTACAACCCATTTGGCCTTCTAAAAGAGTAAAGTTTTACTCTGTGTCCCTTAGTTCGCTAAAATATTTTATTATTTATATCATAAATAACATATCATAACATAATAAATAAAATATATATAAACCAACTGAAATGTAACTGTTATTTTCTCGGACATACCTGCTAACTAACTGCTTAATCATCAACATCTTTCTTGGTGAGAGCCACACATGTGGCAGTAATCAAATTAGTAGCCCAACTATGAGTTTTTCAGCTAATTTACTAATCCATCTACTTTTCCTTTGGTGTATCTGTAAATCATACTGATTTTGTACCGTACACTTAAATTCTGTGTGTTTGTACACATCATGCCTCTGGAAAGGACACAGTGAACTCAGCTTAACATAGAATTTAAATATCAGTTTCACATCCGTCTTGGAAATGATGGAACTATGAGGGCCACATACAGTGTAAGAAATTACATTCTGTAATTCTGCCAAATTAAATATCTCATGCTGTGAGCCATTGCAGCAGCAGCTGGGATTGGGGCATATTTAGTAACACATATGAGCAAGCAATGATGATTAAAGGGAAACTATTAGTCTGTTACACTACTGGCCCACAGCACAAAATGGCCACAATATATCTGTGAGTACTTGATAGACTTGCTGGAGCTGTTATTTAAGTTATTTAAAGGTTTATTTAAAACCTTTGAATGAAAAAATTCTAAGAGGCCTAAACAACAGGTTTTAGAATAAAGACTCTTCCGTACCATTTTCATGAATGAGCTTTGTTAGTTATACAAATTTTAAATCCTCATGAACTCTTTCTCCATCACACACAAGTGGCATTCATCATTTTTACACAGATGATTTACACAGAAACCACATGATCATACCTTCTTCCAGCTCCATGTTCCATTGAACATCTTGCATGTGTCGCTGACCGGATCTGGACATCTGACCTTCTTGTTCACGGCAGAGTTGGGGGTTGTTCCAAAAAGCAGTGCCTCATCCATTGCATGGCTTGCTTTGAAGACTTCAATTTTTACACGATAGTTTTTACAGTTTCCTGATGGCCTCTTATGTCTAGAAAAGTAGTAGATTAAGATCACGGACTGTATTAACAGATCATCTCAGAGAATGTGTTTTACGGTTGCCAAAAGATCAGGGCATTCATTTGATCTTACTTTTAACGATTGAAATTAGCTCCTAAGTTTCTAAAGCTGCAAAAATGTTTTTTAGAGATAAGCCATCTTACCGGCCAGTGTACAAGCCAGAGTCCTCAGAGCTGAGGTTTAAGAAAAAGAGTGCACCACCATGGTAATGTACTGTCTCGTTCTCATTAGTGGAGATCTCAATCTGGGAGTTATTTTTGCGCCACGTGAACTCTTCATCAGGGACGTTGCTCTCAGTCAGTGTTAAGGGCACAAAATAAAATGCTTCACCTTCAAGAAGCTTAAATGAGTCGATGAAAGAGTTCTTACACTGGAGTGTGGCTGTCACTGAAAATAAAGAAGATGATAGACATCATGATGATTATGATGACCAAATTATTAGAATATTGAACTGCTGCAGTACTAATGCAATACGAAAGGAAGTTACCTAATACCAAAGAGATTTTTAAACTTTGTGTGTAATACATGAAAGTAGGTGATGAAATGTTTGCTGTCTGTGGTAAAAATACTGCAAGTTTTAAATTCGCTCCAGCATCATAATGTAAATGTAGTCATCAAAGACACCCCAATCCTTTATAGAGACTTCATTGTGACGTTAACATGTAGATACAGACAGGATAAACATGCATTAAATGGAGCGAAGCTAGCTATGCTGCTGCTCTATAAGATATTGCTGTCTGCTGCGCTGTAAGCCCCACCACCACCCCAGCATCCACCTGTAGGCTCCAGCTAGGGGTTTAAGGTAGTTTAAGGTATTAGCTCATCACTCCCCAATATCTCTACGTAAACATAAATGCAGGGAATGATGAGGTCGGAGCCTAACCGCCAAAATCTAAATATGCTATACTGCTGTAATAAATTTCAAACGTGAGTTGTCTGACTGAACTATATTTAATGTTAGTGTTTAGATGTATTCTCTGGTAAAGGATAAGGCTAGCTTTATTCTATATTTTTGTTATTGAAAACAAATCCCAGGAAAAGAACAAAACTAACAATGTACTGTACTGTGGCACTCAACCCCAAGCCATTTAGTTCTTACTGAAGACATAAAAACCTTAAAATTACCATTATTATTACATATAAATGTACACCTAAAAACCTCAAACAGGAGGAAACAGTGCATTTGCAAGGAACTATATTCAGCTGTGGATTAATACACATTTCTACAAATAACACACATCAGATAAGTTCATTGTTGGTGTTGATGTTTGAGCATAGATACAGAGAACAAAATGCAGTAGAATCATCCCACTACCCTCCATTAATATATTTAATGTGGCTGCTAACAATTTAAGAGGGCCATTTCACTACATGCGCCGCGTCAGCACTATGAGTGTATATACTGCATGTGTGGTTACAGCTGCATTAGCAAATCCATTAATGCACCATTCTTGTCCATGTATTCTTCTAAATCATAATGTAAATCCTACCTGAACATTCAGATGCAGTGATCACCATGACGATGAAGAAGAGAAGTCGGGAAGTATCCATTTCCTGAGAGACACATTTCCTGAGTACATTCAAATTCATCTATAGTGCTGCTTCCTGACACTGTATCTGACACACCCACACAATGATATGATCATGACCGTTTCAAAATAAGTCTAACAGGAAATTCTTATTATCAGCCTGTTACAGTCAGTAGTTTTTAGTTTTCCCCTCCTGGGTGTTACTGTCTCTCTGTCTCTGTGTGTGTGGACTCCTTCCACTCTCCCTGTTGCCTGGGGACCTGATTACCTGCTCACCTGTCTGACCTGTCTGACTGCTCAAACCTGCCAGCCATCAACTCA